TGTATGCACATATGAATAATAAAACAATAAAAAAAAAGTTCTTGTATAACAAAAGATATAATAAAAGCCAAAGAGCAAATGAGAAAATGGGGCAAATACCTGTTTCATAGTCAACAAAGGTTAACATTTTCTGAAATACAAGAGAAGGTCTTAAAAAATTGAGGCACATGGCAAAAACTTGAGAAATGCAGACAATTCAACTGAAAATAGACAATTAAAAATGTCCTTAAACATATGAAAAAATATAACAACTCACTTATAATAGAGACAAGCAAAACTAAAATGTGAACTAAAGAATACCATTTCTTCTAACAGATTGTCACAAAATTAAGAAATACAATGTGGCAATTCTATTGCTGAGGCTGCAAAGAAACAGGCATTCCCATGCATTGTTAGCAAAGAGTGTACATCAGTAAACCCTTTGGAAAAGAAGTTTGGCAGTATCTAACAAAACTACATACCCCACTTATCTTTTTACCCAGTAATTCCACTTTTTTATAGGAGTCTACCTGCAGGTATACCTTCACAACAGAGAATACATGTGCACAGCTTGGTAAGACAGAATATCGGAATAAACAAATACAACCAAAGTACCATATATAGGGGGTAGTGATAAACCAAGTAATGCAGCACATAGAAAATGCTATGCAGCTATGATAAAAGAGAAAGATCACTGTACAAAGGTGTGGAATAACTTCTAGTGATAAAAAAGTTAAATGAGCAAAGTGAAGTGCAAAAAGAATACTATAGTTTATCTTTCAATGTAAGGAAGAAAGAGACAGCCAGGTGTGATAGAAGAATACCTGTATTCCAGCTACTTTGGAGACAGAGGCGTGATGAATTGCAAAGTTGAGGCTGCAAGGAACCATTAGCAAGACGCCTAATCTCAAAAACACAAAATACAAACAAAAGGGTTGGGGGAAGGGAGGGTGGCTCAAGTAGGCAGAGTGTCTGCCTAGTGCACACAGGCTCTGGCTCAATCCCTCTATAATGGCAAAAAAAAAAAAGGGAGGGAGGTAGTACTATGAAAACGTACGCGCCATGTTCGCCTGCTCATTAGGGCAAAAGAAATATCAGGAAGGATAAATGGCTACCTGTGGGGCACAGGTCAGCAAGGAGTGGCAAAAAAAACAGAGAACGGGGGAAGGGGGTATGTGCAGGGCAGGAGAAAATAAGAAGACAATTCTTTGCATCTTTCTTTTTATATTCACCTGACATAGAACTATACAGTAATGTTTCACATACGCCCCAAAATAAACAAAAAATTAAAACCAATAATGTTGTGGGCAAACCTAAAAATAGCAAACACCTGAATAAATGTAACCATTATTGACTTGATACTGTAAAGCTAATGGAAAAACAAACTCTATGTAAATGTTTTAATCTTCATAAACGCGTGTCCTAATCCTAGAAGTATGGCTAGCAATTCTGAATTACCCTTTTGTGTATACTACAATTGAACACGAATATATACGGTAAATAATAAGAGCTGAGTTCCTCATTCTTGGAAAAAAAGGTTACAAATAAGGAAAAGCTAAACAAACTTTGGGTTACTGGAGTTGGCATCAAAAAGATCTCAGTCTAACATACAGAGTATTCAATATACACGACAGGTGATACAGAGAAACTGTGTGTATATGTGAATGGATTAGTACACATATATGTATTCCTATATATACACATATCTTGCTAGTCTGACTGCTAAGAGAACCAAGGAAATGATGCCTTCCAATAAGGCAGATTTGGTTTTTAAATACGCCATTACCCAATAAAAGGATCAGTGGATCCCTTAAGAGAAAATGGTTGATTTCAGGCTGGGGGTAGAGAAAATAACAAATATAAGAACCTGGAATAAGAAAAATGTGGTCAGGTTTCTTTACTGTACATCAATTAACAAATGTAGAAGAAAAGAGAAAAGAAGAAATTACCATAATGTAAATACAAAGCAAGCCGTTGCAGACAGGAAAATCCATTGCACTGATGGATACCAAAATTAAGTTGGTAGAATTTTTTGAGGAGATACAAGGATTTTCCTTGTCCCAAGTATCCCAGCCCCCCTCCCCCCATCTTTATTAACTTCCAAAGGAAAAAGAGTAGCCTTTTAACAGTAGAGAAACTGGGCAGACACCCACCAGAACAAAGTGATCAAAGGTTAATATCACCAGCAATAAAACATGTTAATTTTTTTTTCTTTTGGCAGTACTGGTGTTTGAACTCAGAGCCTGGTGCTTTGCCAGGCGGGGTGCCTCTAACTCTTGAACTATGCTCCAGCAACATGTCAATATTATGAACCTCTTATATTATAACTGAAGAGGAAGGCAATGTCCACTTTTGTAATATTCTTGCCAAAATTAACATAACCCATTCTAATCAGGAGAAAACATTAGATAAATACAAATTGAGGGAACTCTAGAAATAACTAGTAAGTTAACTAGTAAAAGTGGCCAAGACCATGAAAAGACAAAGGAAAAGATAGAAGGCACTGTTTACAGAGGAAAAAACGAAATACAAATTGGTAGCTACATTTACACACGTTTGAAATTCAAATAAGGTTGTAAGTTTAAATAATAGTAATCATACCAATGTTAATTTCTTGATTTAGAGAAATTGCAATAAGATTTTTAAGGGAAGCTAGGTAGGGGTAGTATTAGGTTAACCCTCACTGCTTTTGCAATTTTTGCTGTAGAGTTTAAAAATCATTTTCAATAAAACATTTTTTGTGTGTGTGGTATGGGGTGTAAACCAGGACTTTGATCTTTCTAGG